CCCTTTAGCCCAGATGATTGAAAGTGCCCCCCCCCCCGTTTGAGGTTCTGAGTGACTCTTTCCGGTCACAGATGATCATGTTAAATTGACTGAGGGGGAACCCCCCCCCTCCCCAGCAGCAAAATTTACAGAGTGGGAAGGGCACCCCTGCCTTCCCCCACCGGGTCAAACACCTGCCCATCAAAAAGTCTCTGCACAGCACTGATAATTAGTATGACCTAAGACATATTTATATTTTTATGAAGAAAAGTTGCAGGTTTCAGTGTTTGTGAACTTGACAGAAAGACAAAGGGATACATTTCAATAAATGTATTTTATTGGTGACCAACAGGCTTTTCCCTTTTACAATAAATTTTCAGTAATTCTATTTTTGTTTTAGGTTTCAAAGAGAAATACGGAATATTGCACAGAAAATAACTGAAGTACTAGGGCAAATACAGCGCAAGAAGAGGAACTATCACGATGCTCTCGGTACGGACCCCCACGGCAGGAGGAAGCGGGGCGGGTAGCATGTGCCATTTTCAGAACCATTAAGACAAGTCGTAGTTATTATTATTATTATTTTTAAGACATTTTAAAATAAGTACTTCTTTTCATTTTGTTTTAAACTATTACATACAGGATATAACTCAAGATTACATGCAGAAACAAGCAGGGCTCCTGGAAATGAAAATGGTCGTCTCAGGGTGAAGTTTCTGGAAGATGTAACAGAAAAATGTCTTTGCACTTTATATTGTGTTTTATACAGCTGCTTTCTTACCCCTCTGGGGAGAAAAATGGAATCACATGTAATTTTTAATGCTAAAAATAAAAATTCTCACTAGAATGATTTGATCTTCCAGTATAGCCAGAGTTTATTGTCCAAGTCTGTGTCTCTCTCTCTATATATATATATATATATATATATATATACATGAGTACACCATTTATTTCTTTGAAGCCTGTTTTGAGTCTGAAGTAGTTTTGCGGTTGAGAACACCTTGAAATGCTGGCTAGCAACGAAAGTGTTTAGGGCAAACGGTGATGATCATATCACATCTTTCACTGAAGCCCAACATTAACTGTATCTGTAAACAAACAGCACTAACCCTTCAGGACACGCTCTGTCAGAATCGGGGGATCTGGGTAATTAAATCTGCATGTCTCTTTTAATGTCATGTAGTGGCTCCTTACTTTTCAACCTGCAGTGTAATCATACTCGATCATTCTTAGTCAAGACTTTGCTCTACTTTCAAACACGCTACTTTACATAAGCATGCTCACTTGTAATGCTACTGCAAGCCTTTTTAGGAATCATCTCTTGTTTTATGTTTGTTGGGATATCTAATTCTGGTTTTGTCACTTTGGCTCCATCAGCGACCTTTGGAATTCCGACTTTAAGGGACCATATCTGTCAACAGCCAAGAGGCCATGAATAGCATGTCCACAGGTGGCGACTACTGACAACAGAGGAGCGTTATCACTAACAAACTACATCAATAAAAACTGCATTCATACTATAGAAAAATGGAAATGGTTACTCTGGATCTGCCCACTGACTTTAAGAGGAATTAGAGCAGGACGGCCATCTTTAAAATCTGGGTTGAATCAGCAAGGCGAGAATTCCTCCATGTGCGACGGTCACAAAGCCACCAGCCACATGAACCATATTCAAACCCTCTACACCAGAGTCTGACTATTTGTGCGTAAGTAGCTGTTAAGTAGACATTGAAAACAGGCAACTGGAAAATGCACATATAGCTCCTGCAGTATAAATGAGGTGCGTGTAAAAATTAGCGCTAGTTTTCACAAAAAGTACAGTAGTAAGGAAAAATTGATGTAGCCATCTATGGTCGCTGACGCCACTGCACCGGCACTCCATCCGAGGGCAGACTGGGAGGCTGGAGTTGCATAGTGTGTCATTGTACGTTTTTGTTTTGTTTTTTTTTTGTTTTTTTTTTGTTTTTTGTTTTTTTTTGCGAATACTTTGAATGGCACAATTTGTGTTTACAAGCAGAGCCACTAACGTCCCCATCGTGGTGGGATCAGTCGTGTGGAATTCATACGGAACACACTAAAGTGTAAAGCCCCCCCCCCAGTCAGTATGGACCCTCTTTTGCCCTACTGTGTGCATCCTGATTCGCACAAAACACATTCCGAATCACCATGTTATGCAGCATTTTCAAGAGAACACTTATTGTTAGACAATCATTCAGCAATAACAGCAAATGTTTTGAAAGAATACAGTCTCAAAAAAAATGCTGTGACCTGACTGTCTGCTTCCCAGAAACAGCGCAAAGCAACACTAAATAAGAACGAAATGTAAACAACATCGAAATTCTGGTTAGCAACTATGGCATTTTGAAACAATAGAGGTTAATAAAAATGGCAACACTGCAAACAGTCATTAGAAAACAGATGGACTGCAATTAAAACCCTTCAAATATACAACATTGTAGTGTTAAAAAAAAAAAACCTACAAGCAGTTACGTTCAGATTTTTACATGGAAAAACATGGTGCCATCTGTAGAGCTCCTCACGGCACTCTGACACACAACACAGTCCTTTTTCATGGCAGCTAAAATGCACACCCACACCTACAGTAATGCAGACTCCATGATCCCAAATGAACAACAACACTAGTTCTCCCAATTTTCAAAATGCAACCTGGAACCTCGGTCAAAACATGTAGATATTTGCCTCCACAATCCACAGTTTTCTTGGTATACACCACGTCTACCAAGTATAACATAAAACTTTCATTGCATCATCAGTTAACACGCAAGCTTTCATTTTCATTTACAGTCTTTTAACATGTTTGAAAAGTGGTACAAACGCTGGTGGTCTACATTACATGGTCACCTCTGAACTGATGTTCTTCTAAATTGATACTGTACATCTATAGCCGTTCATGCTAGGCTCTGTTCACCTTCAGCTTCTGAAAAGGATCTTGGATGATTCAGCATTAATTTTGTTCATTTTTAACCTCCATGTTAATGTAACATTCCATGGATGATCCTTGATTCCAACTCCAGGTGTCTTGCTATAATTAAGGCCCACTTAAGATAACTGACCCGGTGACTTCTGTAAGAAGAACCCTGCATACAACTCTCTACTCCAGTGTATCTCAACCTGGTTCTGAGGAATCCACAGCCAATCCACATTTTTGCTCCCTCCCAGTTTCAGTTGGGAACTTGGAGGGAGCAGAAACATGGACTGCTGCAGGTCCCAAGGACTGGATTGACACATTCCAAGTCCACCCTGGGTTAGAACCTCAAGGCACGTGTGGTTGATTCTCACACCACCCATGTAAATATACCCACAAGAATCCTATCTATATTTTCTGTTACAAAACACTGCAAGGTCAGTCATCCTCACACGAACCAGCAGCTACACAGCCAACAAGATGGGACAAGCCTACTTTCTACTGGAGTAACACGATTCTCAGTCTTCTCAGGATTCTTGCAAGAATAAATATTTTCTATTGCTACATTTGCAAATGCGTTGATCTTATTCACATATGGGGAAGTGTTTAAGTAAAATCTGTTAAAATATTTTTAAATTAAGCTTCTCAAATATGTCTGATGTTCACAAGGATTGCTGAAAATAAATCAAGATATAATAGTCTTAACAAAATAGTATGAATTAACTTTATATATTATACCACAAATGTTAAATATCTCAGCTCTGCAAGAGGAGTTAAGTCTTCAACAAAAAAACATAATATGGACCATTTTATGAGTTTGAAACATATTTTAAATGTTCTTTTCTTTGTCATTAAGGTACATAATATATATAAAAATGTGCAGATCTGCTTGTCGTAATATATCCTGAAAGCCTCCAACTAGTACAAGAGAAAACAGCATTGTGTGAATATTCCAGAAAATCAACTGATTGCAGAAAAATATCACTGTAATGGATAGTGTGTGAGACTTCTCATTACCCCCCTGAAAAATAATTCCTACCTAAAATCTGCTAATAGTTGTCCTCTTACCGATTATGTTAAAACAGATATTACCATTTATATTATTATGGGGGCATGTGACTATTTGCAAGTTCCTGCAAAACCAGCAACAATGACAGAGACAGAACCAGAATGATTCAAAAGCCCCATTTTTTTTACAATCAGCTCAAGGTATTGTGCACTGATCAAGAAGTATCTATCCAGCATCAAGAAAAACACAAGCCAGGGTCTACAGCCCGTGCTGAAGCTGAAAGCTTGTAAAAGGGTTAAAATCGTTTAGCACAACTAACCAGCTGTCAGTTGACAAACATACTCTGTAGTATACTGAAAGAAGGCTAGTATATTTTTTATTTCATACTTTAAACCACCAGAGGAAAACAAAAAGAAAACTAAATTGACACTCGATCTACTGCCTGACAAAGACGAAATTTTGACTAGGCCATTCCCTACTAAAATTCCTAATTTGTTTTGATGGATGCTTTCAGTCAACTATTGTTTTATAGTGCATGTAATTTCAGATGAGCTCACCTCATGTAACATATTCAGAGAAAAGGACCTCTTCCATTGATATTAAGACAATCATTCCAAAGAGGACAAGGTTTTTCAGGCATTAAAAATCAGCAAGATAAATGACATTTTAAACAATACCACTGAACCATCCTCTCTGTGTACTAAGTAAAGTGCTTAAGACTACACTGGAGCCTCTCATTTGTGTTAGACGCACCTACAACACCAAGCACAGAACTGGTCAGCCACACTGTTTCAGCTCAGACACAGTTGGATCGATAGCATCTAAAACTTTGGAAATGATGACAATGTGCAAATGATTCAGAACTTAATGAAATATACAGCTGAAGGCAAAAAAAACAAAGCAAGCATAACAATTTAGTCAACACAAGTATTACAAGAATACCATCACTGGTGATGATGCAAACTAGCATGACAGATTAGTGAGGACTGTGGTTTGATTCAATCCAGTAACAAGATTAATACCAAATATCTGCAAATAACTTGGTGAGATAGTATCACTGTCCTATTTTATTTCATTTCACTACAGCACATCAAGTAAGTACTCTCTAGAAAAAGCATCCATAATGTTAACCAGGGCAGCCATGGTCATTTTTTTGGCGATTTAATGTACGTCAGCTTTCTTGCATTAAAAAATAAGCCTTTATTCAAATTTTCTATGTTAGCTTGTATGTGCAACTCAGGTCCTCTTTATGGCAAACTCGACAGTTGCTGCGTGTCCTAGCAAGGCATTCAACAGGATTTTATGATGTTGTAGATCAGTGACCATTCAGTGATGGAACCGGCATATGCAAGCATAGACGGCTAACGACAAAACAACTGCAGAAATTCAAAAAATGGAGATGACAAAAATGTTTCGTATTACTATATGATTGGCTGCAGAAGGCTGGAAAAATCTTCCCTCTTGGGAAACACAGAAATAGGCATGAGAAGCAAAACAGATGAAGAGTCTGAGGGGTCTCAGAACTCGATCTTGCAGGCAGGGAAAGACTCGTCCTGCATGACGACTGTGCTGCTGCTGGCCAGGACCATAACGTTAAGCTCCTGCTGCTTCTCGTGGGTCTGTTGGTACCATTCTCGTGTCACTTCGGTGTCATGGGTAGGGATCAAAGTGACCTTTGGGGGAGAAGGAAAGAGGCTGGGTATGACTACACGATCATGTTACAGGGGACATTACGTCAATTGACGATAAACCTCTGTGGTGGACTGTCCAAGGTGTCATGTGCCCTGTGCTTTCTGGAAAAAGGTCCACGGGCATTGGAACCCTGCATTTAATAGGCAGTACTGGGTTGGATAGATTGATAGAAATAAGGGTAAGACTTTACTTAATGCTGTCATCAATAGTACATTATAGACACCTCTATGATGCATTATAATGTAGGCATATGAATTAATAAAGCATTGCAGCATCTTCTATTGACAGTCAAAAGGCATTATAGTGTTCATTATAATATTTCATAAGCTCCAATGAAGCTCTCATCTATAATGCACTATAAACACCTTCATAATGCATTATAATGGTTGGTATAAGAATTAATAAAACATTACATCATATTTTATTGATAGTCATGAGGCATTATAGTGTTGATTATAATACTTCAAAAAGTCCAATAATATACTAAACATAACCTCATTATGCATTATAATGGTTAGTATAAGAATTAAGGATGCTTTGTACTGCATATAGTGTGTTCATAAAGCACTCATAATGCATACTAAACATGACCATAATGTGATATGCCTAAATATTTATAGCCATGTTTATAATGATTTATGAATGCATTATAATGTGTTATGAATGTGTTCATGAATTCTTATAGAGATGGCATTCACAGAAAGCGAAATAAGCCCTATTTTATTGAGCAAGGCTCTATAGTATTAAGAACACACTTACTATAATCAATCTTGCATGATCAAGATAATAGAAGTAGGGAGAATTAGTTTTTAAACATCGAAACTGCTGATGTCGGCTTAGGGAACATGATCACTGCATCTGGTCTCTGTTTTTCCGAATCCAGATTTCAGTGTTCTCACTGCTTTTACACTGATAATTTGAAGAACTGCAGTGCAGGGGACTCTGTTACTCTGCCTGTGAGTGTACAGTACTGTGCCTTTTATTCAGTCTTGTTTAAACTATTGAACTTTATCCTGAAAATGTTCCTTTGTAGCACAGAATGTTCTCCTGATTGTATCTGACCTTCTGCTGGATATTGGGGACATCCGGCATTTTTAAGATAAGATAAGATAAGAAAGGAAAGAAGAAGAAAGTCAAGGCTGTAGAAAGTCGAGTTATTTTACCTGGAGATTGGACCCCCACTGGGCCTTGCCGTCAAGCAGCGCATCCAGAACCCCGCGGCTGGGTTCTCCATTGGCGGTGTCGTTGCCGCTCACCACGTAGTACGCAGCACGCACTCGCTTGAAGAACTCCTGGTCCACATTCTTGGCACTGCAGTGATTGGGGATGTAGGCCAGGTCTACGTAGATGGGGGGTCCTGGTGGTACAACTGAACTGGACTTCTGGGAACTGGAACCTAATGGTAACACATACCATTTTTAGTCAAATAAAATGTAAACGTAAAAACACTTAGACTCATTTACACTAGAGACATTTAGTCCTACAGTGAATAATCAATTTGCTCACACCTATGCTGCTCTTGATGCCATTAACAAGTCCTTTTCCTGGGTTCTGGCTGGACTTGGATACCTCATCTTTCTCCTCTCTGGATCCCTGTCCATCAGACATCCTTGACAATTTAGATGTCTTTTCTGCCTCCTTTTTCAGAGAAGCCCGAGGTGAGGGGCCCTTGGATGCCTGTTTGACAGGGATGGGAGATTTCTTACCTCTGGTGTCGGTTTTGCGAGCGGGGGAGGATGATTTGGGCTTGTTCAGTGACTTCCGCACAACTTTGTTAGTCTTCCCATCCTTCTTCAGCAGTTTGTCTGTATAGTTAGTGTCATTGGGCAGAACCTCTGGATCAACCATGCACACATCTGGGTGAGGAGGATGAGGGAATGGGTCCTTCATGGGCGCAGGTGGAGGATCATGACTCCTTGATGATGACACGTGGTGACTGCTTCCACCAGCTATAGTAGATTTATCTACAGGCAGGTATTCAGCATCCTCGTCAGAGTCCAGGTTGCCTTCTGCTGTAATTGACGGGCACTCCTCAGTCTCAGGTGGTACATCAGAGTCAGACTGTGTAGGCAATGATTCACTAACAGAGGTTGGAGGGGTTTCTTCTCCAGCTAGAGCAAATCCAGCAGCCATGGCACCAGGATGGTGGTGTGACCCAGTGTCATCTCCAGGTTTGCTGTGAGTGTGGTGCCGCTGCTCTTTGCGGGATCGCCTTTTGACAGAGGGCTGGTTGTCATCACCTTCTTGTGACTGGTCGCTCCCTTCATCCTCTTCTTCCTCATCAGTAGAGAGCTGGTGTGGGCTTGGATTGATGAATGATGGTGAGATTTCTCCTTTGTTGTGTTTGTACTCATAGGAAGAATATCCAGCAGATGCTGATGATGTATGTGAGGAAGTTGCTTCCATGCCTACGTCAGAAGGAAGGTTGGAATCATCCCCTGCTTTTCCAAATGCATCTGGCTGGAATGATGAATGAAAGGACTGATCAGCTGACGCCAGGGAAAGAGGCCGAGCTGGGCGTTCCAGTTTCTCCTCCTCCTTGTCATCATCTTCTTGATATTGTGGAGGGAAAGCCTCTGGACATTTTCCTATTTGCTGCTCCACTTCTCCACTGCTCTGTTTCTCCTTCTCATCCTTTTTCTCTGCGTGCCCGATAGGTTTATCTTCTTTCTGCTCTGTGCTTTGTTGACCTGGTTTTTCAGTCCATTGAGAAGCAGTACCTTCTACAGGGACCTCAGATGAACTTGCACTGACCTCCAAGGGTCCATTTGCTGATGCAGACTGTGAAGTCTGCTGTGATGGAGATGTGTATGAGGTAAGCACATCAGGGAGAGTGCTAGTTATGCTTGGTTGAGTGGTCACCTGTTGCTCAAACATAGGCTGTGTTGTTTTCTTTTCTTCAGCTGGGATTGTAGATGAAACTCTTTGGCATTCAATTCGGCATGGTAAGGTGCTTTGTTCCATTTCACATTCATAATTTTCCTCCTCACTGACTTCTGTCTCATCTCTCTGATGTTTTTCCACAGAATCTGCTCGCTGTAATGGAGAAACATCAAACAGACTCCGGGGTGTGGGTTCCTTTGGTGGGAGTTGAGAACAAGGATCTGGCACTCTTGGACATTCAGGTGACTTAGACACATCGGTGCTTACAGGCTTGACAAAGGACTCAGCATGTTGTCCTTTGTCTGTAGTGGTACTTTTCAGTGCTTGGTGGTCTTTAGCTTCTTCGCATGGAACAGATGAAAGAGGTGGGAAAGGTTTGACCTCCTCAAAAGGACTCAGTGGAGAAAACCTTGTAAGACTGGAAGCTGATTCTGCAGTTGTTGTAGCAGGAGTCAGCTTATCAGAAACCTCTAGGTATTCATCTTTTATCAGTCCACCAGAACTCGAGAAAGGAGAGTCCATCACAAGGGATTGCTCCTCCTTAAAAGATGAATACTCAAAACATGCGCTATCCACATCAGGTTTAAAGAGGGTCTCTGAGGTGGTGGCTGGCGTCTCCAGCTCCTCTCCAGATTGCCGGCTGGCTGAGAGAGATGCAGAGGCAGAGGAAGGATGACTATATGATGAGGAAGAAGAATATGCAGTGGCAGAAGTTGTAGCATAAGTAAAAGCAAGAGAAGCTGAATCCCCAGATGTTTTACTTAAAATATCAGGGGTTGTCTGCTTCTCAACCTCATCTTTTTCTCCAAACCCATATTTATCTTCCCTTGGTTTACTTACAGAGAAGTGTAAATGATCAAGAGTTTCATGATCCTGTTCTTTCCTCAGCAACTGGCTAGTTATAGTAGAGTCTTTAGAGTCCTTAGGGTCAGGATGCTCAAATTCATAGGAAAACTCTTTAGATTCTGTTGTTCCAATTTCAGTGTAGTAGCCAGATAATGAGGAAGTAGTGTCACTCATGGTCTTTTTAAGAACATCCTCAGCCCCTGTCTTTTGGATACTACTGCTAACAGGGGTTTCAAAGGGTTCTGGTGTGGAAGGTTTTACGCTTGTAGAAGGGATATTTTCCTTTACTTTTTCATCTTCCTTTAAAATTCCAGTCAGCTGGACTTTTGAGCTTACTGCATCAACAAATGTGCTTCTGAATTCTTTTTCAGATTCCTCTTTGGCTCCTTTCTCAACATCTGAATCGCTGACACCCTTCTCCACCCCAAGCTGATCTTGCTCATCATCATCATCATCATCATCATCATCCTCATCTTCCATTTTCAACCTCATACTGTCTTTCTCTGAAACTTCATCCTTCTCATAATACATCATAGATTTAGATGCAACAGTGCTGGTTTTCACAGAATACTCCGATGCCATAATGTTGTCATCTATGTGAGGCTCTGGAGATTCAGGTGACTCAGGATGGAATGCACCAAGTTGGGTGTCTTTACTCTCAGACTTAGCTTGAGGGGACAGATCTTTCTTATCTACCAAGTGACTGGAGGATGAGTCTTGTTCCTCAGCCATGGAGAGTTTCCCTTTCTCTTTCTCTGCTGAATCTTTTTCTTTCACCTCTTCTACTATGGTTTTTTTTTCAGGAACATCATCGTGTGTTGTAACAGTGGAAATTGGCCCCTCTTGTTTTGACTGACTCCATGTTAATGAAGATGACTCTTCAGTAAATGTGCTTAAACTGTATTTCTCTTCTTCCTTGGCCTTAACCTCTGTCGTCACAGGAAGAGAAGAGTGTGTGCTCTTTTCTTCAGTTTTCTCAATATTTGTTTCCATGTTCAAATTATCAAGGTAGTAATCTGGCTCATAGCTGGAAAGACATGAATATGGTTCTTTTTCCAGAGCTGATTTGTTTTCATAAATCTCAGTGTAAGTAAAGGTTTTTCCACTCACAAAAGGTGTGTCTTGCCTCACTTCCCTTCTATGCTCTTCTTGTTGGCCTTTTTCACGGTCTTCATGGTCTGGAAACACACCGAGACTGAAATGAACACTTTTTTCAGTCTCTGTCAAAGTTTCTGCGTGGTAATCAACTCTGCTGAATGATACTGCTTCTTCTTTATGATGTTCCTCTGTAGAGAAAGCTGCTTCATCTTCAAACCTTTCACCAACTGATGAATGCATGGCTGCCTTATTGTCATCCGTAGCCACATCTTCTAGTTTTTCAGATCTCTGTAGTGTCTCAGTTACATCCCATTTATCATCTATTGGTATTTCCTTTTCCTCAGGACTATATTTTGATGTAACATGTTTCTCTTTTTCTTCTGCATCTTCCTTGTCTGAAAATGACTTTTCTACCACATCCTTTTCCAGAAGAAAATATGAAGAAGGTGAAACTACGCCGGGGAAAGCTGGTTCTTGCTCCTTCTCCATTTCCCACTTTGCCTCTTTTCCAGGCTTCTCCTCTTCTTTGGAAGCCAATCCTCGCATTTCATTAGAGTAATAATCTTCATCTTTTTTTGTAATCACTGAGGGCATCAAAATTTCTGGTTGAGAGGACTCCTCAGCACTACCTTGACTGTCAGTGCTAGAAAGTATTGAGCACATCGATGTGTTTTCAATAGTGGTAGGGTAAGAAGTAGGTTCAGTCTTCATAGCAGAGCCACTGGTAGTAGTAGTAGTATCTGCAGAGGAGATTGTTGTGCTGCTCATTTTCATTGGGGATGAGCCTTCCTCCTCTGGTTCAGGTGAGACTGCATGCAAATGTCTTCCTTGATCTTTGGCAACAGTTTGAGGTAACATCTCAACCTCTTCTTTTGGCAGTACAACAGAGGAAAGTGTGGATGCATAGCTTTCTTTTGATTGGTTAATGGTCTCACCTATACCTGACTGTAGGTCTTGAGACGTGTAATCTAATTTGATTGGCTCTACTGATAAAGGTCTAGATCCTGCTCCACCCATACAAACAGCATCCCCTTCGTCATCTTCTTCATCTGAGTCCTGAACATCAGACTTGATTTCTTGGTGTAAATAAGAGGCCTCGGGCGCTTTAACCCCCATTCTCTGTGTGGTTTGCAGGTAGGTAGTCTCAAAGCTCTGCTCCTGTTCATGTCTTTTCACTTCTTCCTTTACCTTCTCTGTACTGAGCAAGTCATCTTCACAAGTATCGTCATCATCTAAGAACCGACTTTCCTTTTCCTCAACATATTTTTTGTGGCTTGCTCTAAAATCACTCTTCCTGTCCTCTTCCTCTTCTGAGTCATCATATACTACCTTTTCTAAAGAAATATTTAATGTTTGAAAATCCTTCTCATTTTCTTTTTTTGTTAGAGATGTTTCTATTGGACAGTCTCCCTCAAAAGAAGTTGGCTTGGCCTCCTCTTGAAGAAACTGTCCTTTATCAGGGAAAATCTCATCTTTCTTTTGCGCTGATGTTATAATGCCTTGGGTATCTTTTTCTAAAAATGGAAATTTGTCAGCATCTGGAATTGCAAATGCTTCAAATTTGTCACCTTTACTGAATTGTAGTTCTGCAATATCCTTTATATCTTCTGCTTTCAAAGCTGGCTGTTGAATTTCAGAAGTTTCATTATTTTCTTCCACAGGTGACTGGTGAAAAGGAGTATGGCCTGCACTAGTTGGCCCAGACTGCGAGGTCATCTTCACAGTGATGTCATCTGGACTAAAACTTCTCTCTTCACTTTCTGCACTGGACTCCATTGCTAAAGCACTTGAAAAAGAAGGTGGCGGGGAGGGAGATTTTTTAGTAACTCCAAATAAGATGTCCTCTTTGGTGACAGAATCCTTCTTTTCATCCATAACTGGGGGATACACTAATTCCATATCCCCAGCAGTTTCTGAGGTGGCCACTGACACGGACAAAGGAAGCTTCTCAAAGTCTTTGTCTTGAAACAACCCATAGCTTTCTTGAAGTTTGCCTAGTGGAATGTCAACGTTAGGTGTTTGGTCTTCGTCTTCTTCTTCCTCTTCTTCTTCCTCATCATGAACCTGTACAGTCTTTATTCCAGCTTCAACTTCCAACAGATGTAGCTGATATTCCTCAGAAGGGGGTGACTTGAAGTACTTGTCCTCTTCTAAAGAGGAAGTAGGTGAAATGGTCCCAGCAGAGTGTACATATTCTTTCCCCTGTGTGGCCTCAGTTCTTGTAGATGATGGAATGCTGTTGACAGTATCAAGTAGCAAGGAGCTTTTTCCAGTTTCTTCAGTCTGAGCAGCTGTCACCGATGCTATGGACTGATCTTCAGCAACAGAAGTGGCAAAAGAGGACAATTTATCACATTCAGTAATTGACGTAGCAGAGGAGATGTGCTCCTCTTCTGCTAAAGGTGCTGCAATGACATTGGTGGAGAACACAGCTAGGGCAGGGTCCTGACCTTCTATGAATCCCTTTGCTGTTAGATCTGACACATCATGAATGGCAGCACCTTTCATCTCTCTCATGCCATGAATGGTATCAAAGGAGCCTGTTTCATCAGGGACAGAAATGTCATAGGCACCAACCTCATAGCGGAGGTGTGGAATCCTGTCCTCAGTCTCTTCATGAATTTCTTCATCAGAAATGGTCTGTTCAGTTTCTGAATAACCAGGAATAGTCTCATCCTGAATATAGGAAACGTGTTCTGCTGCAGTGGCACCCTGTCCTGTTGCTGTAACAGCAGTGGTAGGAGGCCCAACATCAGACACATAAGCGTCTACGTCCTTTTCTCCTTTGTCCTGTGATGTCTCTTTTGGTGTCACAGTGTCCCACTTCTTCTCAAGCTTTTCTTTTTGGCTCTCCTCACTTTTAACTTTCAACTCTTCCTCACCTGTTATGTGTACATCTTCTGCTTCCTCCAGTTCTGCCTTTTCTATCACATCTCCATCCTCTTCCTCATCTTCCTCGGGTTCAATCTTTGCGAGCTGCTCTTTTATTTCAGTCTTTATTGCATATTTTTCACACTTCTCCATCTCCTCTTCTTCATGCTTCCTGTCTACTGCCTCCGTTTCCTTCTCCTCCTTCCATTTTCCTTCATCTTCCTCCTCCCCCATTCCCATATCCTCTTCTTCTTCCACAGTTTTCTTCTCAACTGTTTTCTCTACCTTTTCATCTTCTTCCTCATCTTCTTCCCCCATAGCTGCACCTTCATCCTCATATTTATCTCCAGCTTTTTCTACCGATTCAGCTTTCTCTTGTGTCAGCTTCTTTTCTTCCCGAGGAGATTCAGTTTCAGCATCTGTAGTCATTATCCCTTCATCTGGAGACTCCAACACTGGAAGTTTTGCATCGGTCAAAGCTTCGGAATCGATCTTTTTCTCAGCTTCTTCCTCTGGGAGAGGGCTTGCGATGGCAGTATCACCTGCAGAAAGCTCTGAAACTAGGAGTGCATCTTTTGCAGGCTCCGCTTCCAGACTGGAAACCTCATCTTTTTTGAGTTCTTCAAAATCCTTAGTAAGGTCTTCTGGTGTGGAAACCCTAGACTTTTCATCCACTGTTACCTGCTCTTCAGGTTTGGGCTGGATGTCCTTAGTTTCTGGTACTGATGTGGGAATTTGTTCAGCGACATGTTCCTTGGCATCTTTAATTTTGTTTTTGTCTGTCTTAGGTTTGACATGCACCTTGGCCTTGTGCAGGGTCTTCCTGACCTCAGGGGTAAAGGGCTTCAGATCGGGTTTAGTGATCTTTCTTAATTCTGGTTTAGTCGCCTCTTTCTTTTTGTCCTCCTTCAATTTAGCCTCTTTTTTCTCATCTCTTTTAGCGACATCGTCTTTTTTTATTTCACGCTTTTCCTTTTTCAACTCCTTCTTCTCTTTATCCTTTTTCTCGTCCATCTTGGATGCCTTTTCTTTGATATTTTTCTTGATTGACTTTTCTTTTGATAATTTCTTCTTCTCCTGTTTTATCGAGTCCATTGTTTCCGATTTGGCCTTGAGCGGCTTGACCGGTTTGTCACTCTCTTTGATTTTCTTGTCCACTTTCTTTTCAATCTTGTTCTCCTTCACAGAGTCACTTTTTGTTTCTGCGATTGAAACCTCTTCTTGTCCGTCTGTATCTTTCTTCTCAAGCTTTACCGCCGCCTGTATCTTGGAGGCAGATTTAAGACTTTCTTTGCTGTCAGTCCTCTGCTTCATTTTCGTTTGTTTCATTAGAGGAGGAGGACTACCGGAGGATATGTCCTTCTGAGTAGCCACTGGATATCGCAAGAACTCCAGGTGCTTTAACCTTTCAAGGCCTTCTAAGATTTTGTTCTGCGGTGCATTTCCAGGAAACAAAACTCTAACGATCTTCTCTGTGGGGCTAGCCGGGAGCCATACCACGAGAGCGGTAACAGATGTCAGATAAGGAACCGATATTTCTCCCTCTTTTCCACTGGGCAGGACAATTCCAGTTTTAGCCTTGCTGTTTCCTGCCCACTTCTGCATGAGGAATTGCATTTCCTTGCTGTCCTTCACAGGATTCAGAACATACATGTCAAGCCTGCCGACACCCATCTTGTGGAATAGTGTGATGGGCTCAATGGTGTTGCTGACCACTCTGAAGAGAGGCTCAGGCTTGATCCCGAGCTTGCTAAGGTACTGTAAGGTCAATGAGGCTTCCTCGATACTCCGTTTCACCTTCAATGTTGATTCAGGCATTCGAAGTTTATCGGGGACATTAAAAAACACCACACCCAGCTCTGGTGAAATCAGGTTCTTCATCCAGTCGCTGTAGGTGGTAGACCCCTGCGACTGCTCCTCATCTTGTTCGGCAATCTTTCTCTGAAGGAGTCCATTGACACCCGGGAGATTATCGGCTCCAATGTGAGTAATGAGAATGGAATCAATACGGTCCAGATGCCTGACAAGCTTCCAGAAGCAAGATCTTCGTTCGGAGCCTCCATCTACCAGGATGTTAAAGCCATTAACTGCAAACAAGGCAGAGTCTCCTCTCCCACCAGGGAAAATATAGCAGCAGGGTTTAGATAGCTTCAGGAAGCCTCCAGAGGTCGGCGGCTCCAAGAGGTCGAAAGGCGATGGAACGTCCACCGTCTCGGAGACGTACTCCGTGAATTCTGTGACTCCGTCCATTTTGGGCAGCACAGGGTCAGGATTCAGTCTGTAATCCAGGGACTCCCGGAAGTGCTGCTGCCTCAGGGAGCTCCAGCCCACCTCCCCCTGGCAGAACACAGTGAGCCTAGCCCGGTGCTCAGGGGATGCTTTTCTTAGCAGACCACCAACCTACACAGGGGAAATGAAGGACAGCTTGGAGAATCAGTCCAAACAGAATAAGGGATAATGCTTTAAATTAACTGCACCTTCATGATGCCTTTATAATGCATTCATAGAACACTCAGTGCACCTTCATAAACAGCATGTAAGTATACTCTAACATACCTTAATATACATTAATACAGTGTTTCTCAAACCAGTTCTTGGGGACCCCCAGATGGTCCACGTTTTTGTTCCCTCCCAACTGCCAGTGAATTGGGGGTCCCCGCAGACTGCTTTGAGAAACACTGCATTAATAACAAACATTATATGCTTATACTGTTTGTTGTTCTCATATAATGTTTGTTATTGATGTATACTAAGCTGTTAAAATATTTTACGATGTTAAGGTATACTTACATGCTGCTTATGAATGTTCTATGAATGGTTTATGAATGCATTATGAAGGTGCAGTTAATGTAAAGTGTTACCAAATAATGGTAGCCACCCAGGTCCATTTCTCTATCACAAATCACAATTCTAACAAATTCTCAGAAATTTCCAGTTTAAATGCAAGAGGTATATTAAATGTAAAAGAAAGCATGTAAAGCGTCATTCTGCACGAGCCAAAAATGCTGAACTTTAATATTCTGCGCTATGGAATTAAACACAGCTGTGGCTTTCTGCTCACCTCAGGATCAGCAAAGATGTCTGCAAAATTTCTAAAAGTAAATGGGCCACTTTGCAGCAGGAGGTCTCCACCCTGTTCTGAGCTTTGGCCACTCAGGACGAGTAGCTTGTGTGCTGCTTGGTCACCGATCAGAGAATGTATCTGTGAATATGGGACAGAAGGATCACATGACACAAGCGTATGATGTTGAGTGTGTTACATATGACTCAGCAGCGGGGTTAAATTTTCTAAACGAATGCAATATCAGGCAATGAGTTGTTGATGTTATTCAGCACTTTTGCTGTTTAAAAAACACTATGATATAGCTAATTGATATAATGCAGGCTGTTTGGCGTTTTTCACTGTATGCCGTACTTCAGAAGTGAGGGAATCTTCTGCTGGATTCACTAAAACCACAGTTTCGAGGACATCACTTTTGTGCTGCAGAGTTCTTTGTCCTGCAATAGATAAACAGTGGAGAAGATATTTTTCAGCTTGAACCTTCTGATAATATGCATACAGAGTCTAACTTGGAAAAAATATGGAGTCTATTTCTCATGAGCTCTGTAAGACGTCTCCTTTAAGACACCACAGACCAGCAAGACCATGACTACAAATGCAGGAGAACTGTAACAGGAAGTGAATCAGAAATGCGTGTTATCTGTGGACAAGATTTTCCAGCTATAGAGCAGGAAATCAGCCTTACATATACACGCTATTGTTGTTGTATTATAGTTTTATCTGGTGGTTTAAATCAGTCCTCAGACATTTTTTCTAAATGCAACAGCACCAGTAAAATTCCTTCTAACAGGCTTTCAGAGGCCTCCTGAAGACTGAGTGGAAGGCGAAGTACTCTGCTGCCACAGATCTCATTAAATCTTCTTAGCAGATGGATGGAAACCGTCCATGTTAAGCGTTTCGCTCTTGCCAGAAAGCATTAAACATACCAGAAGACCAAAAACAAAACACTAATCAGAGCCAAAAGGGTAATATAAAGCAATGAGAGAATAAAACGATTCAGACTGAACTGTAGGAAAGTGATAATATTCTGCAATGTCTTTCTGTATATAATAACTGTAGTTATGTAAACCATTTAAATAAGTATAATTTAATGCCCTTTAAAGGTCATATTGAATGGAGGTAATTGTTTGTGTGTGTCAGCAATGATCATTCATTGTGTGAAAATAGGGACTTTGCATGTTTTGTTTGACCACCAGTGCATTTTCTAAAAGTATCCACATTTGATGACGCTGATTGTGTTATAATTTATTATTTATGCTCATTTTGCTGCAGGAGCAGACCAAAGACAGAGGTGTAGCTCACCATATGAATCTCTCGGTATTTGCCAGCGACCTTGATTAGTCTGTGATTAAGCAGGTAAGCAGCACTGGAGCACTGGAACACTGGAGCACTGGAGAGCCAAAAGGACCCTAATGCTGAGCTACGAGAATATTCTTCTTAAATCTTGCTCAGGTATATATAAAACATATAAAAATGAAATATTTAAAAATGTGTTTATAAATTCGGCAATCATTTGTTTCATATAGACTGTATGCATGTGTGTCCCCAATCCAACCCTTCTGGGGTTCTAAAGTTAAAACTATACTGGTTTTATCTGAGGAATATTCCTGTGGAATGCACTCAACAAGATACCTAAAGTACCTACAGATATATGAACATATTAGCTGAGTTTTCTTTGTCTTTAATTAATTTCACCTAAGAGAAGAAAGCTCACAATCACAGAAACTAAGGCAGAAGAAAGCAGATTCTTTTCTTCTCTGCATACCTGAGTGTGTATTTTGGTATAACCCCTGTTTCATAATCTGCATTACGAAACAAGTGAACTTACTAAAGCTGTGCATAAAATAGGAAAAAAAAATGGAGGCACATGAACGATATGTTTATTCTCTCACCAAGATGTTAAAAATCAGATCGTTAAAGCCATCTCGTCTGCAAAATCCTAAAATAATTGCTGTTATTCATTTCTAATCCACCCAGCAAAGAAAGACGCTGTTATTTCATCAGACTGTTTCGGAAAATCTCAGTACAAAGTGAGTCTGAGAAGCAAATGCAGGGAGTCAATCAGAACCATTGAACCAGCCCCCGCTGTCATTCCATCGCTAATCTAGATGGTATCCTCTCTGTGAAACCTCTCCGGGGTTGGGTTCCGCTTATATTTTTGCCTTTGGCAGGCAGATTACAGAACGTGGGCCAGATAATCCTAGCAGCAGAGCCACATGCGTGTTCCACCCGAGGCCTTGGCCAACAAATGCAGCTTTTCCATTGGCCGTTGCCATAGGAACGCCATGCCGGCAGTCGCCGCCAGCTCCGTTACACTGACCCAGTCTTTTTTTTTTTTCCGCTGCGAGACGCATTGCAGCATTTCTCTGCGAGGGGGAAAGGAATGTGCCTTGGTGCAGCGTCGCATAGAACGGGACCCAGCGAGGAAGTGACTTTTAGGTGCTTAATCAGACAAACTATATTTAACTGGAAACACTCGTGGGCTATGTTTAACTCTAAAAATCAGAACGGTTCACTCCGCGGGGAGCGGGCCATTTTCTCCGCAGCCTGCTGGGTATTCGGGCAATCAGGGGCTTGTACAATGTGTTAAGGGAGAACGAGAGCAGGGAGGCTAGGCCTGAGGTTGTTTGGCAAAGCTGACAGAACTTTGGGTTTTATCCAGACGACAGACTCCGGTTACCCAGCTGCTGGACAGGCCAGGCAGTGGGGAACAGGGTTACCTTCCATCACAGTGACAGCACTATTCCATACTCCAAAAGACTATACTCCAATGCTACTCCAAAGCAGCCAGATAAACAGTCAGGTGAGTTTTCCACAGAGTCATGAACCAGACTAGAGGCTCACTGTGCCAGTGGGCCCATAACAGCCCTTCGGTACTGACTCCAGAGGCCGTTGCAGCAAGTTGCATCATCTCGTCACATCTCATCCTGTCCCGTCAGCGTAGATGGGAAGACGGCAGCATCAATCAGAGGGTGTTTTCCCAGAACGTTCCGCCACATTTGTGCCAGGAAATCCAAACACATACCTACAAACCCACAGATTGTTACTACATTGAGCTACATTGAACACTGAGCTCTTACTTGTTTTATTTTTTGCTACCTCACAAGAAACACAATTATTTTTCCCCACTTTGGCAAGCAGGTCCATGTAGTCTCTTCTGTGAAATGCCCTGGTTTGGCACTGGCTGAATGAGCCCAGTTCACAAGAACCATGACTGTACTTTCTAGCGGAGTAAGAGAACCAAACTACTCCCACTGTGGTTCTGATACCCAGATGCCTGCAGAAAGAGGAAGTGCATCTCTGTCAACAAAACAGGTGGAGCATAATTCACTGCCTCCATAACAGAGCTGTTGTCACCCTCTCAGTTATAGACAGCAGCCATTCTTTAAACGTGTTACATTAGACAAAGACTGACCTTAAACCACCAGCCAATGGCATTAAAATTTAACACCAAGAATTCTCAATAGCCACTGTTATTGTTATAAAATTGTTATAAAATGTCTATTTGGACAGGACATTATATCAGATCATGATGGATGTTTCATGCCTATGCCATTACTTGTGACAGATTTACAAGTAATGCCCCCCCCAAAGCAGGAATTGTTCTGTGGGGCTGGAGAATGACTGAGGACGGGGGACTGAAGCTAGCCTCATTGGCTTCAGATGACACAAGCTGTAGGCTTCATACCATGGGAGGAAATAGTAGCCTAATTAAAGCCCTACTGAAGCCTCAGGGTTCTAGACCCGGCCCAGACACCCCTAAACTCCTTACAGTTGTGCGGGACACTCCCCTCTACACCCCGGAATTCTCCCATGATGCCATTCTCCTGTGTGTCTTGCATCTACAGTGAGCCACTTACTTTTGGGAGTTCAGGCAAAGCAAAAAACACAAGTTTGTTGGTAACTAAACCAAAGACATATATTTAAGACTGTTCTGCTATTAGTAAAACGTGTCTGCAGATCACAGTGTCTCCTCGTGTACGTCAAGACACATTCCAGCTTTTACTCTACCCTGGTATAAAAGAAAACCAAACAAAATTTTGGAAAGAAAATGCTACACTTAAAACCCTAATCTTAAAACCCTTAAAGCCCCAAAAGTGAAGACAGACCACTAGGCTGACTCTATATTCGACATCCTTAATTAATTAGTCCACCATTTTCAAAGGGGTTCAGTGTAATGCCACCTTCTGCACCACCCATAATGTTAACTGTTCATTATAAAGACAATTCCTTTGTCTCAATGGCCAGTGAATGCTATTATGAAGGTGGACCCCGGCGGTTTCAGAACCCTGGACAGTACCTCTGTCCGCACTGCATAGATTGGCAGCAGAGGTGGGTAGTTCAAGTCCAGAGAGTAAAAGTCCAGGCCAAGATTTTATTTCAACCAACCAGTTGAGTACTCTGTGACTATGACTCTTTATACTCTACTGGTAAGTTTAAACAGAATCTTGATCTGGATTTTTACTTTCAGGCTCTGAATTACCCACCTCTGATTGGCAGCCATTTAATGTGTCAGATGACATATTCCTGCAGTTGGTGCCTAAGCATGTGCAGTTTCACAAAACAAACATGGAAACATTTGCAAATTACAACACAAAACCTCTAACCCTAACTCTTTTTGACCCCAGTCGCTTCCCCTCCCTCTGGCTCCTGAGCATCACTGCTAGTATGCTCCTCACCTACATCAGCACTCCAGCAATGTGGTGAAGAAGGTGAACTTTAGTCCTCAGTTACAATTCACCTCAAGGATATCAGTGCAGGTATCTAGGGCTTCTGTGGCAGAGCTATAAAAAGTAGGTCTATATGTATACGCAAGAAACACCTCTAAATTGGTGTGGATTTTTTTTCCGCGAGAACTACCAAGAAGAAGGCATTAAATCACACCCACCAAATATGTTTCATTTTCAATTAGCTGTTCACGCATCGCCCATCATGTGATTTAGAGCTGTGCAATCTGATGATTGTAATTAATGAAACCCCCCCCAAGCTGTGAGCAGCCGGCTTTGAAGACTCTCTTACACGAGCGCTGTGTGGGACAGTCGCCGACGCCTTTAATCCCTTTAATGAGCTGTGCCAGCCAGCCCCAGTCCCAGCTCCTGGATGTGTGTCGTCCAGCTGCTGCCAGTTTACACTGTTGGTCTGCTCCACACTGCCCCAGCCTGAGGCTCATCTCTGCAGTTGGAACTAACCACAACTGTAAGGTCAGCGCTCATTCACTCGGAACCGCATGTTCTCTCTGCTGGGGATGCTCTGTAAACAAACCTGCCAGGTCTAGGATTTTAAACACACCATGGATCCACAAACAGGCTCAACCTGATGACCATCGAGATGCAGAACGATCCTATGGTTCTACAGAAAATAACAATCAGAAACCAGCTTTTCGTTTAACACAAAATATGTGAGACATTTTCTGTGCCTGACTGTTGAAACCTGCTCT